TTCCCTATCCTTTTCGGTTCCGGTTTTACAGCCCGGGCCAAATCTGAATTTAGAACAGAAAAGAAGAGCATTAGCCTTTGAGCTTTGCGCCAATTCCGACGGAATGACGTCACGGATATGCGGCCTGGCCTTCAAGATCCTTTCAAAATGGCGGCTCCCGGTGTCGAACTTTTCACTTCTTTTTCATTAGGATCGCATCCAGTTCAGAAGCTAAAACAACGGTGAGTAACTCAACTCAATGTGAACTTTTTATTGGTGATGGAAAAAAATACACGGTTTTTGGAGTGACCTACTCCTTTAAGTCGACTTCTCGTCTGCTGTGGCATAGTTATGTGACGTCAGGGCAATGCCAAAGGTGTCGCAACATCGATCCCATTGTCTCTCTCTCCCTTTACCTCACTTGTCGAGCTGGGATCAAGTTTGAAGGTGTCGTTTTCAAATATTTACATCAGTCGACTGTACATTTTGAACTTGAAACTTATTCGGATGCACACATTTTAGATCTAACCGAAATTCTATTAACAGTTCTATTGTTTAAAATGTTCATTGTATTTTATGCAACGAAAAGGTGTTTTTAATGTTACTTGTCAAATGAACATTCAACTCTGATGTAAAATAATTAACTTACTGCAAATTTGCCAGCGTAAAATGACATTGTCTTCCTATTCAATTTGTTTTCAAGGCTCTTACCCTGCAAGCAGAGCCTTTTCTTACGGTACATTTGCTTTGTAAAGCAAAAAGAAAGGGCTCTCTGCATTGTTGCATATTCAGCATTGTCTGAATATAGACCTTTTCCGAATTGCGGTTTCCCTCTGTGTCAAAACGAGTCTTCGTGTAAAACCACTCATATGAAAATGTGTTTTGCCTACTGGTTCATTTTCATGCCAATCAAACTCATTTTCATATGAAAGGTGTTGCTGGAGGAGTCGCGTCGAAACAGAGGCCCAAGATAATATTGCTGTGGAGCCACCATATTGATGAGATAAATACATGATATACTAAGTCAAAACATTTAAATGAAATGTGTGTGCTCAGTAGTAGTATCTGAGCTAACCCCTGGCCAAACAGACTCGCAAGTAGTCGCAAATACTTGCGTAGAGACTTGCGCCGGGTGGCCAAACAGACTCAGAAGTTTCCTCGCAAGTACACGCAACTCGTAAAAAAGCTACATATCCAGTGTTTCATTGACTTGGGTTGGCAGGCCAAACGGTGAACTGAAACGTGCGTGGACTTACGTTCAAATTTGATCTCGACCAAAGTGAGCACAAGTCAACGCAAGTGCACGCAAGGCCTGGCCAAACGGAGACGCAATGTGACGATAGGTTTTTCCTGCAACACTGTAAATTTCGGACTGAACGGACACTTGAAGTGACAACTGGGGGAATCTAACTCNTCGCATCCAGTTCAGAAGCTAAAACAACGGTGAGTAACTCAACTCAATGTGAACTTTTTATTGGTGATGGAAAAAAATACACGGTTTTTGGAGTGATCTACTCCTTTAATGTTAGTTCTTCGCTTTATTCACGGCGACCTTTAGGTCCTTTTTGATTCAAAAGCATATAGATTAGCGCGGTTTTCACTCAAGTATCGAAAGTAAATCGCGTTTGACTTGGTTTTGCACGCGATTGGCTTAAAAAAAACTCGTGCCACTTTGGTCAGCCAATCAGAAAACCAAAACTAATCGTGACTCGCTCGTGCACGTTTTCCCGCGTTTTGCGTCAGCTTCATATATTTGCTTTGCGTTTTGATTGGTTCAATGGATTGGTTGTCCACAGTGATTGGCCAGCGACTACCTTGGTTCTGGTTTACGACACCCAATTGAAAACCGCTGTAATTTACATGAACGACATAATAGGTGGTACACGAGCTTTACCATCCTAGTGTGCCTAACACATATCCGGTAATATCTTAAATCATATTGCAATTTCCTCGATTGTAATTGGTTTTAAAAAAGTCCTATTTTCCACTCACTTGCCAAGTTGTTATTAGACAGTTTGTTATCGGACAGTTCAAGAAGCCAATCACATTCAAAGTTGTAGTTTAAATCAACCAATCTCAATTTCAGAGCGACATTATACAATTTACGCCTCCTTTGCCAATCTTTTAATGAAAATTTCCCCTTTCTTTCGTAACTTGGCTATTCTTCTTTTCTCGGAAAATGTAATTTTTACGATTAATTGGTAATAAGATTTCGCTTCGTCCAATTCGGTCTGTAATCATACTCGTGATAAACAAATCGGACTCCCGTTGCGCGGTCGTCCGATTTTGTAATCACTTTGTAATCATAATATGAACACGTCTTAAATCAAGACATGGAAAAACTATCTACCTGGCTTAACTACAACTATCTTCAAGCCAACGG